CCCCCCCCCCCCCCCAAAATCTATAAAACTAGAGTTCTACACTTCTACTCAAAAGCATAAAGTTTGAAGCTAATGATGTTTATTACCATGAGCACTGCTTTTATATGGTCGAAAGTGAGATCAATGGAAGATAATTGATCCTCTTTCAGTTGAAGCAAGATGTCGATGATGTCCTCTTGCTTGGAGTTTTCCTTATGTGAACTTAGGTGTTCATCAATGAGCTCTTGGTAAAACGTATCCATTCGCTTAAAACATTTCTCTAGTCGAGAACGTAATCCAGTGAGTTTATCAACCCAACCGAACAATGGAAAATAGTCTGAGACATAGAAGCTTCCCATGATTTCTTGAATCTCGTAAAATAGTCCATGGAATCTACTTCTTTCATATCTGTTATCATCATACCTTTTACCAAATGCAACTCTGCAGATAATGGCATTTGTAAGAGACATTAATGTCTCACTCAAATTGGTGAGCTTAGATGAAGAGGCTTGTTCACATATTTTCTTAATCATCCTGGCAACTTCATCTTCACGAATAGGATGAAAAGATTGCACTCTTTTGGGACTGAAGAGATAAAGAGTACATATCTTTCTCATCTCCCTCCAATAGCCATTATATGGTGAAAAAGCCACATCTATGCCATTATAAGACAACTTTTGCTGGCCAAACAAGGAAGGCCTGCTACAAAATGCAAGATCATGTGTTTTCATTACCTCTTTCGCCAATCTTGCTGAAGAAACCACGATGGTTGGCACAGAACCAAGCCGCAAAGACATAAGGGGGCCATATTTTTTTGAGAGTTGTGACAGATATTGATGAGGGGCTGAGCTATCCATCTGGTGCAAGTTTCCAAGAAAAGGTAGTCCCGAAGGACCTGGTGGATGAAGCATTTCCCCACTTTTTCTGCATTTATGCAGAACAAAATAGAGCAATATTGGGAGAACTAGAACAAAAAGAAGTATCATCATAGTTGATTGTCAATTGCTATAAGTTCTTCTTGTGAAATAATAGTAGGATTTGAGTACTCCTTAAATAGATCTCTTCCTCCAGGTCTAAGATGTGCTTTGGAACAACATCAATACATCATAGAACTTTTATTTTAAGGTAAATTATGTTTTGGCCCCTTGAAGTTTAAGATAGCCACATCTAAAACCTCGTCATGGTTTGCATACAGAAAGTTCACTCCCTTATGGCTTTGGACTAAAGTGTCACCACTACGATTTTCATTAAAATTGAGGGTTAAAAGTCAATACTTTTAACAAAATCTAACGTTCTAACTTCTAACGTAAAGGTATGTACTAAAATTGAGTTACTGTAGAGGTATGTACAAAAATCTAACGTTCTCCTTTTATGTTAGGTTGCTAATTTTTTGTCTATTGTACTATTAGTCTGAAACTTTATGAGAGTATATAGGGTGTAAAGTTGTAAAATATAACGAAACAAAGTGCCATTGACTCAAACTATGAGGCATAAAATGTAATTTACAATTATATATTATTAGCATGAAACTCGCAACTAATAGATTTATTGTTCTCGGGATAAAAAAGCTTTTTCAAAGTAGGTACTGTCCCCTCTGATGAATTTGTGTGGAGCACCAATCAGTTTGTTGACCTGGATTGATGAAGTATTATCCTCTAAAATGAACATCCAGCTTGAGCCAAATTGGTTCCTCCCCATGTCTTGCCTTGAGAAATCCTGTGTGCTTGGGGCGTGCTGTGTGTACTTGGATCTTCTAGCTTGTGAGAATGTTTCTCCCGCTTCTCTGTTTTTGGGATGTTGTTGTATTGCATTTGCTTCCAGCACTTGTGTTGTATTCTGGGGGAAGTGCTGGCTCAAGGCATACACTTCCTTCAAAATTCAGCCCACTTGTGTCTTGTCTTTTGTGTTGGTATGCAGGCTTTGTCTCTTTGTAGGTTGTATATTTGCAGCAGTGTAATGAAATTATCACAAAAAACCATGTAGTTGTGACCAATTGCAAGGCATTTTATGACCAGATGAAATATTTAAAAATTATTTGACCCGTAATTATATATGTGACTGATAATGGAAGCACAAACACTTTGTTTTTGTATTTGTTTTTCCCAGTAATACACTTCAAAAATATTTTTCCCAAGCATTCGAAGCCATGGGATATATAACTAATCGATCTAGATCAAGGGGAAGACATAATTGAATCTGTGTATATATAATATATGGTGATACTGTATAACAATAAGGTGTTTTAATAATATTTTTGGAACTCGGTAGCTCATGTGGCAATAATGACAAGTTATAAACTTAAATATTTTGAATTTGAATTTTGACAACTCTTTGAATTCAGATTATGAATAATTTATCACTCATGAAAATCCTAGACCTAACGTGAATAATCTGCCTCTGATCAGACTTGATAAGTGATTAATCGAAGTGTGCGTAAACTAATTTGGACATTCTGGACCGTTGAAAACTTGAAATAAAAAAAAAATGGGGCAGTGTTTTGGTGTTTAAAAGAGTCGGTAACCTTCTTGAAACGATTTAACTGCCAAAAAAAATAAAAATCAATTATGAGATTTGCTCAAGTCTATGACATCTTTAATCCTATTTTATAGAAATAAATCATATTATATTGATATTGATTTGGAATCCCTATAACATATATTCTAATATGAAACTCACATCATTTAACATTCAAATTATTGCAACAGAAATAAATCATATTATATTGATTTGGAATCCCTATAACATATATTCTAATATGAAACTCACGTCATTTAATATTCAAATTATTGCGATATATAGGTTTATTAGTTATTGTCCGTACCTAAAAGTACGAAGTTATAAAAAAATTGGCCAATAATAAATATATTTATTTTCACCCTCAAAATCAAATCACAAATATAGAGGAAAAAGAAAAAAATTTAAGTACCGGTTGTAATGAAGTAAGTGATGGTAGTGGTAGTGATAGGAGACAGTAATAATTATGGTGGATGACCACGACCATCATCATGGTGGCAACCGTGGGTGGCAATGATAATGGTGGTGGTGGGTTTTAGGTGACGATGGTAATAGGGGTAGCCATCGATGACGACGGTGGTGGTGGTGGTGGTGGTGGTGGGTGTGGGAGGTGATGGGCGATAGTGATGGTGGTTGACAATGGTTGTGGTGCGGTGACGAGGTGGTGGTGGCCGTGGTGGGTTGTGGTGGTGGGCAGTGGTGAGGAAAAATTCTAATATACTATTGATTTTTACTTTTTTGTGAAACTGTATCTTCTAAGATCGAACCCTTGTCATTTTAATACTCAAATTATTGCAACAAGTAAGTAGATTGTAGCGGGCATATTAGTTAGAAGTCTTGCCACTATTAAACGTTATCTTGTGTTCTACTCGTACATTATACAATTAGACAAATAAATGTGTTTGGTAAAACTTTCACTTTCTTACTTGTCCAAATTAAAGTAAAGGAGAGACTCAATATTATATTACAGTATTTTATTTTGTAGATGGCGTGCTTATTTGGCCTATAAGCAATTTAGGGAGTCTTGAAAGAATCAAAATTCCGCAGTTCTAGCGTGCAATGGATGCACTAGTCAGTGAGCCCCGTCAATTATGTGATTTTGTCATCTATCATTTTATTCAACACCCTAAAATATGATATGTTATCTATGTAGTCGCATTCATTTCTTTATATTAATCAAAGATATGTTAAATCTTTGTGTCTCATTTTTCTTTTACTTTTTTTGTATTAAGTTTCTCTTATATTATAAACTTTTACATGGTATTAGAACGGGTTGATGCGACCTTAATTTCCACTTGCTTCCACCTTCTGTACGACTAATATTGAGCACCATCTCTTTAATTGCTAGAGTTTTACACGAGGACAAGACTATGGTACTTTTTTTTTTGTTTGTGGTAAGTAAGAAGAATCCCATAAAACCGAAATGCTACGATACTTTATTTTTTTCGAAATGTAAGTTTGTATTAAGGATAAAGAAGGTGCAAAGGTACAAATGAAAGCTTGCATAGTCAAGCCATGATCAGTACACCACAAGGAAAAGCAAAGCCAACAAAAGAAGGCATTAAGATAGAGGTAGAGCAAAGGAAAAAAACAATGGGAATAGAAGGTTGAAAAGTTGGTGAAGTGGGTTGGATGAGAGCTGAGATGTAGTGGAATGGGTTGGTGGTGAGCAAGAAACATAGGGCATCAAAGGGGGTTGGGAATGAAGACGAGGCATTGCTCCTACTTTTACCCCGCATGGGTTAAGAGTATCTACGATACTAAAGAACATATAGTCACAAGGCCAGTGCTACAATTTCTTTTATTAGCAAAACTTAGCATGGTGCATACAAGAGATACAAGTTTTTCTTCTATTTTTTCATACATAAGACTTATAGATGTAATCACTGACCACTCTTGAGTTAACCACAAATTTAACATACAAAAGGTTTAGCTATAAGGCACAGAGCATTCTTCTTGTGAGCTGCAAAACCGGGCATCACTTCAGTGTCTACATCATCATTCTTCATCCCAGCAGGCAGTTTCCAGTCGAATGCGTAGAGTAGGTTAGCAAGTGCAAGCTCCACTGTCGTAGATGCCAAGTTTATACCAGGACAGACTCTCCGACCAGCACCAAAAGGAATAAACTCAAAATCTTTTCCTTTAAAGTCAATAGTAGTACCTACAAATCTTTCAGGTAAGAACTCCTCTGGGTTCTCCCAGTATTCTTTATCCCTTCCAATGGCCCATGCATTCACATAAACTACGGTTTTGGATTGGATTTCATATCCATCTATAATGCATTTTTGAGTAGTTGCTCGAGGCACGAGAAGAGGACCAGTTGGATATATTCTCATTGATTCCTTGACAACTGCCTTGAGATAAGGAAGTTTTTCGATATCATCTTCATCTACTTTGCCTTTCTCTCCTGTCAACTTTTTAACTTCTTCTTGCACTTTCTTCATCACTCTAGGGTTTCTCATCAGCCCCGTCATAACCCAAACCAGAGTGGCGGCAACTGTATCCGTCCCAGCGACCAATATATTCTATCATGAAGAAGGAAACAAAAAAAAAAGGTTAGAGAAATTCTTTTTTTTCCCTCCCAATGATCAGAGTAATGCTTCGTTGATACGGTAAAAATTTAAAATGATAGAAAGTTAGAAAAGTAAAAAAGTTGAAAGGATAGATAAACATCATGTTTGATAAGGAAAAAAAATATGAATAATAAAAAAATGGATAGAAGAGCTTTCCTTCCTACTCACCAAAATTCATCCCTCTAAAATTAAGAAGAAAAATGGATGAAAAATTAATTATATGTCTTGAAATATACATTATTTATCTATATATCATTTGATGCATACATATATCATATTTATTAATTAAATATTAAATATTATATATACATTAATTTTTATATAAATATAATGATAAAATATGTATTTATTTTTTAAAAATAAAAATTACTTTTTTCATCTTACCAAACATAAAAAAAAATTATTTTTTGAACTTTTCATCTATTTTATCAAACATAATGTGAGAACAAAGGTTCACTCTTATTTTTTATTATTTCAATTTTTCATTCATTTTACCAAACGCATTATAAGACTTCCCCGCTTCTACTTTCTACTTAAAAGCATAAGTTTGAAACTACAATATTAATAATTACCATTATGACTGCTTTAATATCGTCGAAACTAAGATGTATGGAAGATAATTGATCCTTTTTCAGTTGTAGTAATATGTCTATGACGTCCTCTTCCACGGATTTTGCCCTATTTGGACCTAGATGGTCATTAATGAGTTCTTGGTAGAATATATCCGTTTGCTTAAAGATTTTCTCTAGCCGAGCATGCAATCCGGTGAGTTTATCAACCCAACCAAACAAAGGAAAATAGTCTGAGATGAAAAAGCTTGACGC